CTTTTCTTACTGAAAAACATCCCAGTTTTCTTTCTTTTTTGTTACTTTTCATTCACCTCATCTGGATAATTCACATTCACCTTTCAGAATTATGTGTCAATCCTTCCAGGGAGTCTTCCAAAGGTGAGGTATTTCTCCCAAATTCTCCGTTAGCATGCTGCACTTGCTATCTTCTGTTATTTTGAGTACTTAGTCTTCTGGTGAGTTCTCAGTGAATTAAATTTTTGTTTTATTGAGGCCTCTTTTCTTATAAATATTTGGGACCTTGTGTGAGGAGAGCAAAGTTAATTTTACTTCTGAGTTTATTGCACATTATCTCACTTTGTTCTCACAAAACTATCCAACACCTAGTACCAATTTGTTTACTTACTTGTTTAAACCCTTTATCTCTAATACACTCCAATTTCTCTCTGCGATCTCACAGGCAACCTGCATAATGTCTCAGATGCACCCTCATATTCACACATGTCCTTGTAAATTGTTTTCTGTTTCATGTGCGTGTATTTAAAATTTTTATTAAAAGTTGCTATGTTTATTCTGTTTTAATTTGTCAATTAAGCATATTCTGTGTTTTGATTTGTTTATTCAATATTATATTTTTAAGATCTGTTCATGGTACCATGTATATATTTAATCAATTTTTTCTAACTAGAGCATAATGTTCTCTTTAATACAGCTTCCACAATTTGACTATTTATCCTCACAAGGACATTTTACTGATTGCTTCCAAATTCTTATCACCACAATAACTAAATAACAAGCATTCATTTACAAGTCCCTTTAGAACTTGTGAGAATTTGTATGTGAGAGTGTGTGTGTGTGTGTGTGTGTGTACAATGGATATATGTACATATATATAATATATGTCTTATGTATACAAATATTATATGTATATATGTATGTGTGTATGAGTGTGTATAAATATAACTCCCTCCTAAAAGCTGCATTGCTGGGCCACAGGAAACCCACATGTTTAATTTGACTAAGTAGTCCAAAAATGCTCTCCAAAATAGCTGAGCCTCTCTCCCCTCCTACCAGAAGTATATGAGAATATGGATATGCCAATGTCCTTTCCAACACTTGGCATTAATTACCTTCCAAATTTTTAGCTGTCTAACCATGTAAAATGGCATTTTGTTTTTCATTTTGAATTTCTCTGGTTACTCATGTATGTAAGATTCATTTTACAGACTTCTCAGCCTTTGGGGGTTCTTCTTTTCTATATCACAGTGCATACTTATTTTAGGATTACTGCCTTTTTGTTAATGCTGATGATTCTCAGGGGTTTCTTGAGTATTTTATATATGAAGAAATTTCCAGAGTTAGACTTAGACATCTGAAATATATTCTCCCATTTTTCCACATGTCCATTACCTAGTCCCTTAAATCCCTTACCGAACAGAAAATTTATTTTGATGTAAAACAGTCAATAGTTTACCTTATAGTTTGTACTTTTTGAAGTTTTTTTACAAAGTTATTCCCCACCTCATCTCTTAGTCAAAAAGATATTCGTTTATATTTTCTTTTACTAACTCTCAGGTTTGTCTTTCATATTTTGGTATTTAATTCATGTGGACCCTACCATTGTTTGTGGCAATAGGTAGGAATTCAGTGTTATTTTTTCTCCATATACTTAATCAATTTTCCCAAGGTCATTTTCTAACCAATTAGTTTTTCTTTATTATTTATGGTGCCCTATTTATTACATGTATGTACATATTTTATGTACATACTTTATGTACGTACATGTAATAAATGAGCTTTTCATTATATCTTATTGTGTGTTTGTGTGTTTTAACTGTTATTTTTCATCATGTCAATCTCTATATCCTGAGAGTCTGATAGAATGCCTAGAACTATTGTGTAGAATAAATGACAATGACCTATTTATACTAAAGCATTTTTAACCGGTGTCCACTGAACATTGTCAGATCAAATATGTGGGAAGATCTCTCTTCCCACTTTAAACATAGCCTGATGCTCATGGTCTCTGAACACTCACAGCTGAAATTCCACTTGCTCCTGCATTTTTGTGTCCACCAGCCAAACTGTATTCTTATAAGCATTAGGTATCTTAGTTCCCAAAGTGTTTATGCCTACTGTACTTATTGTAACTCTACAATTTAAATAGTACATAAACAAATGAAATGGGAGTGCAAAGAGGGAGTCGTTTCAATAAAAAAGATTTTTGAAGTATTGAAAAAACAAGAATTGTTAAATAATTATTGCAAAAGAAGTGTGGTGTAGGCAACTTTGAATGGTTGGAAAGGATGCAAATTATAAAGATACAGAAGAAATATCCACTCAGATGGCTTTACATTCTTGTTAACTTGAGAGTGGCGAAAACCGGAAAACACAGATGATGTCTTATGGATATGTTCCATGTAAGCCAGGTAAATTAGAATTACAAACAACGTATCTGCATCCTAAAAAAATGGCTCCTAATCAAAAGATTGGCACAAGAACATATATATATACACACACACACATTGAAATAACATGTATGTATCATTATTATAATTATGATTTTTATAATTTCTTGTTTTAATCAACTTTGTCAACTTACTAATTAATTTTGAGATTGGATAAGTGACCTATAAAACAATCATGTAAACGGAGTCACAGGTTCTAAATAAGCACACATTCAAACTTTGGGAACAGATTTAGAAAACTATTCTCCAATAATTTATTTAACTCATTTAACTTTTTTTCCTTTGATTATTAAAATTAGAGGTACTAGGGTAAAGATTATATTATCATGAGAACTGAGCACATACATACATCTTTTCTACTACTTAATTTATTTTTATTTTCTTTTTTGAGACAGGATTTTAAGTCTCCCAAATATCCTTTTTGTAAACTACCTCCAAGGAAAACCTAGGCATTTAATAATGTGAGTGATCTTTCAAGATAAAGTTCTTCACACTAGTGTTGGAAATATAGAAAAAAACAGTGTAAGGCCTAAAAAAACTTCACCTATAAGGAAACTGAAGAAAGAAAGGAAAGAAAGAAAAAAGCAAGCAAGCAAGAAAGAAAAAAGCAAGAAGGAAGGAAGGAAGGAAGGAAGGAAGGAAGGAAGGAAGGAAGGAAGGAAGGAAAAAAAAAGAAAAGAAAAGAAAAGAAAGAAAGAGAGAAAGAGGAAGAAAGGGAAGGAGGGAGGGAGGGAGACAGGGAGGGAAAGAAGAGCAATGGACTTCAGCTTGCACATGCTAAAGCCATAAATACATTACTTCCCGAAGTGTGTATTTTTGGCATTAAAGGCTCCCAGAATAAATATTAGGCCTTGAAAAGTAGGAAAGTACCCCAACTAATTTAAGACTACTGAATTAGCAGAGAGCTCCCACACTCTGAAAGAATCTTTACAAGCTGACAGACCACATTCCTGTCCTTTCAATTTTCAGAGAAGCCTACTTTAATCAGAACATATGTTCACAAACAATTAAACATTGATTATCATACGCAAATATGAACCATCAGCAATTATTGAGGATTTGAGAAAAAACAGCACCAGAAAAGAGTCCTCATATTCACTAAATAACAGTATGCCCAAGCAGCAGAGTGAGAAGAGCAAACAGAAGACAACTAACATACAGGTACAATTTATATCTCAGAGAGCTTTTAGATGATAGTGCATTTATAAGACAAGAAAAGGATTTCGTGAAAAAGAAACATCTTAGACAAACATGCTCACAGAAGTTAAAAATAAAAGCAACTCAATAAATGTGCTGAGTGGTACATTGGGAATAGCAGAAGACAGAATGAATAAGCTGGAATATCTCCCTGAGGAATATTGTTGGAATGAAGAAGGAAAGGACAAAGAAATGGAACACATGTAAGAAAAGTTGAGAGATCTTTATACTACGTATATGCATTTGTATCCATTTTCATTTGGTCATTACAGCCACTTGGTAAGGTGGATTTAATTACTACTGTTCATTTGGCAGATGGGGGAAACAGTGTCATGCAGCATCCTAGAGCAAGTCAGTAGTGCTGGACAGTCTAAGATTTGAGTCTCTTAAGCCCCACCTCAAGTTCTTTCTCTCCTTGACAGTATGTGGACTATTATTGAACTCAGATAACTAGTAAATTCCTTTTTTTTGGTTTTTGTTTTTTTTTGTGTGTGTGTTTTTTTTTTTTTTAGTACTAAGACATCCAAAAGGAGAGCATGAAGATACTATAACACAGGCAAAGTCAAGGAGGCTGAAGCCCAGAGAAAACTGCTGGATTTGGTGACTGATAAACTTGGAGAAAGGTTTCATCAGGGCTATGGTTCTCATAAGTCAGTAGCATTATTGGGAGCAAATGAGCCTACTGAATTCTGGGCCTCATCTTCAGAATTACAATTCAGGTAGTGTGTGTGGTTTCAGAATCTCCAGTTTAATGGGTACCCAGGTAATTCAGAAGCAAGTTCAGAATTGAAAGCACAGAGTGGAGGATTTGGAGAGGTCAAGGTGGCTAGAATTTCCAGGATGGAGGGCCAGAAAGGAGAGAGAGTTCTGAAGACAGAGTTTTTCTCAAGTCTAAAAACTGTCAGCACATTATTGTAAGCAAATGACTAGTCTTGGGGGGAAAAAAAAAACTCTGAAGCAGTTGGAACAATTTCTGGAGATCACACAAGACCAGAGATAGTTCATGACACACTAGCCAGAGTGAAATATTTTTGTAATACAAAGGGCAGCAATAGAGAACTCAGAAAAGTATTGCCTCGGTAGTGAAGCCAAATTAGCCCTAACTCAAAGAGCTGGCATGTATATCTAACAAAGCAAAAAAGCAAGCCTCGAAAAGATCAATATGTTTCCAAATAACTTAACTATATCTTAAAGCAGAACTCCAGGATATTTAAAGAAATATTCCTTATTCACAAAGGAATGTAACGAGAAAAACTAACTAGTGGAAACAGATCCAGAAATTACACATATGATAAAATTGGTAGATAAGGACATAAAAACAGTTATTATAATTATAGTCCATATATTCAAAAAGGTAAAAAAAAGCATGAACATATTAAAAGAGATGTACAAGTATTAAAAAGACAAATAGTACTTCTAGAGCTAAACAATATCTAGAAAATGAGATTAACAATGGATTAAACATTAGAAAAAATATTAGTGCATTTAAAGTTCTAGCAATGAAAATGATCAAAAAATAAAATATGGAAAGAAAAGAGAATGAAAAACATGAATAGACCATCAGCAAACTGCAGTCCCACTTTGAGCATATATGTGGTTTGCAGTCCCTGCATTGAAAGAAGAGGACAGAAATATAACTGAAGAATTAAGAACAAAAAAATTCTAAATTAGATGAAAATGATCCAAAAAGCTCAATGGGATTGAACAAAAGAGCTTGAAGAAATTTACACGGAGGCCTAACATAATTAAATTGCCTATAGCCTGTAATAAACAGAAAAAATTTTAACGCAGCCTGAGAAGAAAAGACATATTACATGCCAGGATATAAAGATAAGGATGGCATTAGAGCTCTCATTAGAAATAATGCAAGTTAGAAGAAAGTAAAGCATCATCTTTAAAGTACTGTCATAAAAATGAGGATAAGGCCTTTCCTATCTTTGTGTCAGAACCCAGAATAAATGCCCAAAAATGGTCTGAGTATAATAGTTTTTGGATAAATAAGTGAAAATGTAGGCCCTTTTTTATCCAATCAATAGTTGGTGTAAGGACTATTGTTGTGTTTTTACAAGTACAACAATCAAAATTCAGAATAAAGTTGTAAATGTGAATACCATGTATCACTGTACACTTTTGCAATGTTATTTTGATACATGAAAAATCTTTAAAAACTATTAAGTTATACTCTATAGGGAGAAAAGTAGAAATGATGAATTAAAGCAAGAAAAAAATAACATTTTTTAAACTCTTCTCCAAAACAAAGGGTGGTTAATATCAAGTGAAAGTCCCCATATACAGTCTGGCATTCAGCTAAATCCACTCATTCTCTACCTAGATCTGAATGCATGAATGCATTTCCTTTCATTTCCTCTCTTTTCTTCATTTTCCTCGCTGGGTCTATCCTTTCATAAAAGTCACCAGAAAGAAGATGAATATCCATAGAAGCAAATTCCCAGAGGGTTCCAAGGTCCCGAGAGCTGTTGTTAACCTCTCTCAGAGTGCAGATGGCTGGGTACAAACTCTCACATGCAACCCAAAGGCCCAGCAGTAGATTTCAAGCTCTTATGAATAAATCATGCTCCACCACTCAATATTCTGTCCCTGGGTACTGGGTAGCATTTGTCATTCACCTGAGTCCTGAACATATCATTATAGAATTAAAGAAATTTTTGATTATATATTCCTTAGGAACCACCTGCATACAACACTTGGGACTTCTTGGGTATAGGCACATGTGTGCAAAGAATTCTAAACTTGTTCTTGGTATAATGGCCTTGACAGTGACGGAGTCTCCCACCTGCCCCTCAATGAAATGATGCATTTGACTCAATAATAATTAGCATCAATTATGGGACAGCCTTTCTGAGGACTGAGTATGGTCCTCCCAGGCTGCAGGTGCAGAATTATCCCGTGACCTTTTGCTCCAGAATCAGTCATCAAGGAAAGGAGTGGGAGCCATCAGGAGGGAATGGAAGGCTGTTTATCTTCCCTAAGAATCATTGTCTGGCCTCTGCTATTCATGTCAGCAGCAGCATTTTCCTCTCGGGAAAGCTACAGGAGAGGCTGAGATGCCTCATCTGTGTGCTTGCTTGAGGAGCCTTGCAAAGAGGCACCTGGTTTTATTTTCTGGGTATCTTTATGCTCATTCTCAAAGAAAGAAAATCCACTTTATTACAAGAAACAAAAACATAATGGAAAGAACACAGGTGGCTGAAGGCTGACTGACAGGCAAGCACATAAGGAATAAGATGCCAGACAAGGCCCCTCTGTTTCCAAATGGCAGCTTCTGGCTGCCAGCGTACATGTGGAGCCTGCTGCGTTTGGAGGAACGCTAACCAAAAGTGGCCAAAACCCTGACCCTTCTTCACTCACAAGCTTCAAATAATGCAGCTGTTACAAGATGCTACATGGAAGCTTGTCTTTTCTCTCATTTGCTTTCGGTTTTTGCTTCATATCACAAGAACAGAAAAAAAAATCAAAAGGCAGCTGTGACCAGCTTGTTTTCTGAAAAACTGTTTTGAGGATTCTATCGATTGAATGCTTTTCTGGCCCTTTGCCATTCTCAGTGATAAACAGAACTCCTGCTTAAGCACTTCTCAGTTTCCACTGACTCGTCATGGTGCTTTACAAATCACTCGGTACCACAGATTACAGTGATCTGTGCCCTGTCTTCCTCCCCAGCCCCAGAAGCTCCTCCAGGAGAGAGTCTGCAGCTGACTAATGTTTGCTTTGCCCGCTGCCCTTCCTGGTGTTTTTCAGAGTGGGTGGCAGCTGGGGGAGGAAGGATCCCAGAGGCCAGGAGAACTGGGACCAGTCGATTGGAGCCTGTTAGGCTTCAGATTTCTATCATGAAAACTGGAGCCATAAGATCAACCCATTTCCTGTAGGTCTTTATTTGAAAATCATTTTCTCCAAAACTTCACCATCGGAAATTTCCACACCCCTAATATTTCATACTGCTCTCCCCTACTTTAATATTTTTCTTTTGTACTTATCACAGTCTGAAATACTACATAATTTACTGAGTTTTCTTGTATATTGTCTATTCACTCTATTACACGATGGCAGGGATTTCTGCCTATTCTGTTTCCTATTTATTCAGAGTGGCTAAACGTGCCTGGTACATAGCAGGCTCTTGATAAATATCTGTTTAGCTAATTAATTAAAGAACAAAGGTATGTAAATTCTTTGTATATTGCCATTGCTTAAAAATTGTTAGTTTAAAAGCAACGTGGCTGAATGAATAAACCAAATTAAATTCAACAAAAATTTCCTTGTATTTGTGGAAGTTCTTTGATAAATTATAGAATAACATTATGTCTGCTAGAGTTTTTGTACCTATATGCTTTAAAAGATGTATTCCTAACTTTTCTTTTCCTACTTCAGAAATCCTCAGTGTGACATCTGTATCACTAATGGCATTAGCTGAAAGGAAAACAAAGACTCAAATTAATGTGCAAATTATAAATCTTGCCTATTGATTTGTTTGCAAACAACCATAGTAAATACAGAGGTGAATGCAAGAACTGAGCACGTGTTTAAACACAATTTGATTGTCCATGAGTTCACAGCTTCCAATATCATTTAGGATGGATTATTTCAAACTATCAGCTTTGACCTGTTCTAATTGCATTTGCTGTTTTCAGAGTAATACTACGTTACCAACCCTGAAATATGTTGTTGAAACAATTTTGGCAAAGTTCTTTATGATTTCTAATACCTGTGGTAGGCAGAAAATGCTCCCCCTAAGCCTCCTGCAAAGACATCCGTCTTCTAATTCTTGAAACCTGTGAATGTCACCTTACACGGAAAAAGGGGGTTTGTGGATATGATTAAGTTAAGGATTTTGAGATGGGAGGATTATCCTGGATTATCCTAGATTTTCCAGGTAGGCCCAGTCTAATCTCATGAAAAGTGAAGACCTTTCCTGGTTTTGATCAGAGGGAAATGCAACAATATGCGGTAATATGCTTTGGCTGTGTCCCCACTTAAATCTCACTTGAATTGTAATAATCCCCACACGTCAAGAGTGGGCCCAGGTGGAGCTAATTGAATCATAAGGGTGGTTTCCTCTAGACTGTTCTCACGATAGAGAATAAGTCTCACGAAATCTGATGGTTTTATAAAAGGGAGTTTTCCTGCACATGCTCTCTTGACAGTCACCATGTAAAATGTGGCTTTGCTCCTCATTTGCCTTCTGCCATGATTGTGAGGACTTTTCAGCCATGCTGAACTGTAAGTCAATTAAACCTCTTTCCTTTATAAATTACCCAGTCTTGGGCATGTCTTCATTAGCAGAGTGAGAACAGACTAATAAAAGTGGTCAGAGAGATTTGAAGATGGAGGGAGGGAAATGGGGCCTCAAGAAGCTGGAAAAGACAGGTAAATGAGCTCTCCCACAAGGCTCCAGAAGGAAGCACAACCCTGTTGGCACCTTAATATGAGCTCAAAGACCAGTATTACATTTCTGACCTACAGAAATGTAAGATAACAAATCTGTGTTGTTTCATGCCACTCTGTTTGCGGTTGTTACAGCAGCAATAGAAAAACTAATATTCTGCCTTTTCTGATCTCACTTCTCACCATGTCCCTCTCTGCATTTTATTCTAATAGCTATATTGTCCACCAAAAACATGAAACATTGAATGAAGGCAGAGACTTCCATACCTTTACTCTTAGTGTTCCCTCCACTGACACCATGCTCTCACCTTTAAAATGATCACAGTCCAGATTGAATCATCTCTGGGTCCCAAGCCTAAAATAATCATTCCTCTTTCATTTCTTTTTGAGTTCTTATATACTCAAGTAGCAATTTTTTTTACTTTGTCTTGCAGTATGTTGACTTTGGTCTCCTCCGCCATAGTTCCCAAAGGGCAGAGCCCAGTGCTTTTCATCTTTGTATCCTTTAGAGCAACTACTTTAGAATCAGGCATGTAATGCCCATTGGATATATTTTTGCTAATTAAATGATTGCAGAATGGCAGGTTATCTGTTTATTTTCCTAATCTGTGGAAAGAGTTGTAGGAAATAGTATCACTCAGTTGTGCTCTGAGTTTGGTAGAGAAACAGCCTTGGACACACATTGAAGGATAGATAGTAAACATCTATTCCCAGGTGTCAGGAAGTAAATGGAGTATGAGATCTCCTAAGTGGGTGGAAATGGTTATAGAAAACAGTCTGAATGATTCTGAACTGCTACCAAAAAAGAAAAAACCTACATAATGTAATCAAAGACAAAAAAAAAAAAAAAAACTGAGTAAGTAATAACACAGGTGGTTGTATGACACAACTGAAAGAGAAACGGGCTATTGCCTAAAAATAAAAATTAAAGGACAAAGTGTCAAGAGATTTACTTAAAATGAGAATGATTTAAAAGGTACACTATAAAGAAAAACATATCCAAGAAGAAAGGATGAGAACACAGCTAAGTCATAAAAATGACAAACATCTTAATTCCTCTCTTCTCAGAAAGCTCACTGGCAAATAGAACATTTAACTTTTTTTTCTTTATTCAACAAATATTATTTGTGTACCCAATATCTGTAATATATTTTGATAATTGCTGGGGATATGGAATTAAATGAATATATTCCTTGCTCTAAAGTTGCTCAGAAAATAGTAAGGGTAGAGGGTGGTATATATGGAGTAGGTTTGAAGATGAAAAGGGAAACCATGGTTATAATTTGGTGGAATAAGTCCTAGGGTATTTCTCAGTTACTCTTTCCTATGTATATTAGTTAGGATTGTTTTGGCTACAGAAAAATCTATGGCAAATAGATTGTGGAAAGTGGAAACGTATTGACTTCTATAACTAACAGGCTCATGGGTGGAGCTAAATTTATTCACAGCTAGCTTTGGGGCTCAAGTAATATCAAAAGAGCCAGGTCTTTTCATCTCTGGAATCTTCTGTCTTTCAATGGTTGGCCTCACTTTTAGGCTCCATATGCAGGCAAGATGAATTCATTTTTCTCTGTTTTATTTCAAGTGTAACTGAAAGTTCATTCTTCATCAACTTCCAATAAAATGTTATTACTTTTTATTATCTCTGATTGGGCCATTTGCTCATCTTTAACAAATTGACATGATGAGGGGAATGTGATGTTCTAACTGACCAAAATAGCCATGTTTGGACTCTGATTCAGGGGAGCAACCAACTCTGCTTGGAGCACCACGACTGGGAGAGAGAGAAAAAATTGTACCCAGATGAAATTTGGGGTGCAGTTACTGGCAGAAGAAAAAAATGCTGAGAGACATAATAAAAGATTAATGTCCACTAAGCAAGAGAAGCAGAAACAAAGAATAGCTGAGGGAAGTAGGAAAAACAATGTCAAGAAAAATTTCATTGATAAAATAATTGCTGAGCTGAATTCTGGAGGACAAGGAAGAGTAAGCTAGATGAATGTAATCCTGTCCTTACCCCAGAGGTGAAAGTTATGTGAAAACCACCAGGTGAGATCTGCAAGATTAAAGTAATTTAGTTCTGTTCGATATGGGTTTTCCTTTAACTATGGATCAAAGACTTTTAGCATCTATATCATAGAAGATAATTATTTTAAAATATAACTCCATCAGGCCTCACTTCATACCACCCTGAATTTTGGATCCTTGGCACTGGGGCCTAGGATCTGTACTTTAACAAAACCAAATTAGCCTAGATGATTTTTATATATATTAAACTTTAAGGACCACAGTTCTATATCTAAATTATTTATCCAGTTTCTTAGGAGAACATGGGTACAGTATTCATCCATAAATATCTGCCAGGCAGCCTTCCAGGCACTGGGAATATGTCAGTGAAATACAGTTACCGTTAACAGGACATTCTACATAATTTCTGAGGTCCAGCGCAAAATAAAAAATGTGAGGACCTCTTGTTCACATATTAAGAATCGTAAGACAGAGACAGAAGAGCATTAAACCAAGTGTAACTGCGCAGGTCCCATGGCCATGAAACTTGCCCTGCCTACCAGTATAACATCTGTAATCTAGTTGAGCTAAAGATTACCCCTCAGAAACAAGAAGACTGTGAGCTCTTAAAATAAAAAAAAACTTAGAGGTTATCAAACACACACCCCTTCCTTACTGTCTTTTTGGCTCTGTTACTCTTATCAAAGTAGATATTATCAAAATGAACTCTGACTCATTTGTTCAAGTTACTGATGTTTTGAAAAGCAAAAGTATCTTTGAATTTGGTAAAGATCAATAGGATAGGTCTTTCCACTTTATTGTACCAGTGTTTTTCAAAACCTGATCATTGTAACAGCAGCATTAGCATCACCTGTGAACCTGTTAGAACTGCCCCAGTCCTACTGAATCAGAAGCTCTGGGGGTGGAGCCCAGCAATCTGTGTTTTAACATGGCCCACCGATGATTCCAATGCATAATAAGTCTTTAGAACCACATACAACATCTGGGGCTAATTGAAGTGAGGCATTTTTGGTGTACATTTCCATTTAAAACAAATTGTACTTATAATTGACTTATTAATTATTTGTTAGCAGAATCAAGAAGATGTGTCCATTTAAGTAATTAAAAAGAAATATACCTAAAACAAAGTGATTTGGAAAGGTGAAAAACAAAATCAACAAACTTTGAAAAGAGAGAACAAAAGACGCAAGGATTAAAATCTTAATAGTAGAATGTAGGCCAAAAAAAGAATTAACAAGGCAAATAATGGCACTTTATAATGCTAAAGAGTATAATTTAAGGTGGAGATATGACATTCCACCAAGCAATATATCACGAATATTCATGAAATATAAATTACAGGAAAAAAATAGAAAAATGGATTTTTAAAAACTACTATAAGAGGTCTTTAGTTCACCTGCTTTTAAGTCTGTAGTAATTGCCTTAATAAAATATAAGAATATTTATAGAAAAACTAAACTGTATAATTAAACAGTTTATCTGATTGATGAAATTCAAATACCATCCTGAAAATAGAGAATGTTTTTACAAAAGTCCATGAAACAATTACAAAATGAATAAAAGTCAGCACATATGAAAACATCAATAATTTATAAAAGGATAAATAGTATAGACAATATTCTTCAATTACAATGCAAACAAAAAGACACAAATAACAAAAACTGAAAACCAAAAGATCCTTTCAACTGGACATTAAAAAAAACTTTTCTCAGAAAAAATATAAACCAAAATCTCAGCATTTTTAGGAAACATGATGAGTAAAACACTACGTAATGGAACTATGATAAACACTAAACACTCAAAGGGAAACTTATGGACTTAATTATTACCTCAAGAAAAGAGAAAGACAAAAACAAAGTCAAGCCAATAGAACAGAATAGAAAGCCAAGAAATAAGGCTGCACATCTACCACCATCTGACCTTCAACAAAGCTGCAAAAACAAGCAATGGTGAAAAGACTCCGTATTCAATAAATGATGCTGAGATAACTGGTTAGT